TTTATTAAAGACTATATAATTACCGAGATGTTATATGAGGCTCCCATGCGGCAACACAACGGACCTTTTATAGGTCTTGGGGGCTTGGGGAGCTTGGGGGCGGGAGGCTCTTATCCCCCCTCCCGGCTACCGCCTTAACCTAACCTAACCTATATGAGGCTCCATAACGCTGTTCTATGGCGGGGTTTTGCGTAATGCCTCGTAGACAGAGGCGCACTTCTCACTGCCATGGGAAGCTGAGTCGGTCCCTAGAATCCAACAACAAAATGCACAGACTTTAATAGTCTTTGGTTCTACTTACTTTTTGTACGAAACCCTTTCTTTTTCCGAGTTAAATCTGAACACTTATTCCATGGACAATCCTTATTTAATTCTTCATTCATCAACCATTAATTCATTCACTTTTCTTGGTTTTTAACAATGGTACTTCTGTGTCAACCTCTGATTTACCCGAAATCCCTTCAATTTCCCTCCTAAAATCATACAATTCCTGTGGAGAAACAGAAACCACTTGGCTGGCACTACAATGTGTGGACTATTGTGGGTTTTGAAACAAATATAGCCCAGCCTTGGCTCTGCCTCTGCCTCTATCTCTATTGTTGCTGTTTATTCCAGCGTGGCCGAACCGCCCTAATGTCGACTTATGACACCAAAATATTTAACTGCTCAATTTTCAGGCGTTGCGCTTTCCCCAGTCCCCGGTCCACAGTTCCAGAGAGGAGGGTGCGTGCGGGATAACAAGGGGTTACACTTGAATTAGTCCAAAGGGATTTCCGATTCCGCTTCCGAATCGCCGGGATTCAGAGGGGTTGAGAGCGAAGCGAGAAGGACAAGGCGTTTTGTTTGCTTTTGTCAAAGGCGCAGCCTCTTGCCACTGCTTGGCCTTGCAACAATTGAGATATATTCAATTGGCAACATGCGGCAACAACCACCAGGGCAATCAGGCTACAGCCACCACCACCCCACTAACACTTGCCCCGTAGTCTGTCCCGGTTCGGTCCCGCTGTGCGAGCGATTAGTTTGGGAAGCTGCCACCCGATGTGGCGCATCCGTGAATTACAATTGCGGTTTCCTCCTGGAGTCACAGTCAGATTCAGGGGAGGATTCCCTGCACAAATCACTCCAGTTGTTCCTGTTGTTGGTCTGCACTTGAAATTGTCAGCAGGTGCCTTCCCCGTCCCCTGGCAATGCAACAACATAGATATAGTAGTTATACCGTTATACCGTTACTTAGTTACAGCTGCAGCTGGAAATCGAAATCAATTTAACTGCATTTTGTCGGCCGACTGTCATGGATTGGGGACGAGGATGAGTAGGAGATGATGATGACCATGAAGGCCTTCTGTATGTTTGGGCCATTAATAAACATTTCGTCGTCTGTTTGTGTAATAAAAATGCAATTCCCATTAAGTGTCCGAGGGGGTTGTTGATGGTTGATCTGTTGCGGAGGCGAAAGCGGCGGCGGAGGCGGGATTATATGCCACATCCCCGTGCTCGGTGCTGACCAGCTGAGACAGACACTAAAAGGCCGAATGTATTATCGACTATGAAGGCGTTCAAGATGGGGTTCAAGTCAATCCAATTGAGATTCTTTGGGGGGAGTACTTCCGTTTATATTTTTGGAAATCTTTCAATCCTTTTTAATATACTCGTATATTATTTCAATTTTATTCATTATTGATATTGTTTGTTATTATTTGATTGTTTTTTGATATTAAAAGCTGATATTAAAAATGTGCATTAATATTCGGAAAACATCCTGTGATTCATTTGATTATCCGGCAGCGTACTTTTCGTTTTCGAGTTTCCTTTTTACTTTTCACAAATGGTTGCCTCTCCATTGATCTATTGAAAATAGTTTGGAATTGGAACGTTTATATGCTGCCCATATTGGGGAAAAGAGAACGAAAAACCTTGCAAGTCCTTTGATAACTGATAACCCCTGGCGCACACACATTCCAGTAGATCACATGACAATTATAACTTTCTCAAAGCACAGAGGCCCAGGAAGCCCCCATAACGGATTCTTTTTAATTTCCACCTTGAGTGATCTTCTTTTTTTGGGTTATTTAATGAAACATTTACCGCAAATAAAGTACAATTAAGATCCATTGTCTTATCCCATGCTCTCATGTTCATCCTATCCTCAGTCGAAACAAAGGCCAGCAGAATTTGGATGTACGTTAAAGGGGTGCGAGCTGTTGAAAAGTCTTTAGTCATCGCCCAGAAATGATTTTCATGTCTCAGAGCCATAATGATGGCGGCAATAAATTCGCATTAAGAACGCCTTGAGTCAATTCGATGGCACGCAGATGTTGTACGATGTACGATGATCTTATGGTAGAATGACTTTAAAAATTATAGGCACTTTTGGAAGCGAGAACCGATGATCCTGGCGGGATCCGGGAGCCTCCACAATCATCTAGGTTCGGGTGTACCTTCAGCTAATTGCGTTTAATTCGTTCAAAGAACCCGCATTCTGACTCCCATAACTTTGGCTTTTTTTTTGTTTTATGCAATCATAAAAACATTCGTTCAATCAATAATGTATAATGTATCTACCTCTCTCTCTCTCTATTCCAATCCACTCGCTCAACTCGTGCCCCGTTGCTGTTCCCGACGGAAGTTGCTGATTTTGTGACCGTTTTTCTGATCGTTTAAGATTGATTGATCAATGGTTTACAATCACCTAAGCCTCCGGTCAACGACTCGCCCTGTGGGGGTCTCGTGATCTTGGTCTTGCTCTTGGTCTCGACTCTGCTTTTGTTGGGGGCGGCAGAAGCGTTTGTTGATTAAATCGCAGGATGTTATCGATCATTGCATAAATTAACATACGACTTTTCCTCCCATTCCATTTCAAATGTTCTCCTCGCTCTCGCTCTCTGTCAAGTTTCTATTAATTTTTATTGCCACTGTGTGTAATTGCTGCCGCTGGAAAAGTCCGAGTGGAAAATGTGCTAAGTGATACAATCACCATGTGATTAGGGAACCAACTAATCGTGGGAAGAAAAGCGGGAAGCATGGTCTGAATAAGGGTGCAGAAATATTGGGATTACTTATTTAGACGTTTGTCGATTTAGAAATAGCAGGGGGTTTTTAAAAAGTGGCAAAGACTTAGGTCTTAAAATTGGGTAAACATTTTAAAATTCTAAAAACCTTTTTGGTTCACAAATGCTGATAAAAGTAATATAAAACGTAGTTGTATTCTCTGAAAGTCTCTCTGAAAGTTCTCTAAAGGAAATTCTGAAGAGGAAAGGTCACTGACTCTCCACGAAAATACTTCTTTAATCAAGAGTAACAGGGTCTGCCTACTGCACTTTGAAAGAAAAATCCAAGAAACAGCTCAAGATAAAACTCTTGACGTACAAGGAACTCTGACCTATCCTATGGGATATATGTATGTAGGTTTTTAATAATACGATACAATATTAGTGTTCATTAGAGCTGTATAGTATGGCCTTTGCTTCAACATCCATTCTTATCCTTCATACATATATCTTAGTAAAGAGAAATTCAAATGTATAGAATCCACAGAAAGATAAAACAGAATGGTGTTTTTGAAGTGTTTCTATCCAATCTATTCAGACATTTACTTAACCATTTCATTTAATATTCCATCTCTTCCGCTACAAACTAGACTTTTCCTCACGTGCGAATATTCCAGCTTTTCATTTATCTATAAACGAGAAAAGCCAGCAACCGAAATTGTCATATGCAAAAACGGAGGAGAAAGGATTGAGAAAGGTGAGTGTTAGCTTTTTATACTCGTACACTCGTATGCATATGTTTTTTGCGGGGCAGACAGTCATATTTTTTATTGATGAAATTGGTTTGGCTACAGCTACAGACTTCATTTGCAAAGTAGACAAGTGCCGCTGTGCAAATTGCAGACTAGGGAATACTCGTAGACCAAAGGACCAGGACCAGGCGGGGTGTGCGAGCGTATGCTCCCTGGGAACTGCGTTTGCAATTTATATATATTTTTTATTGTCAAATTTTTGTTCAGAACGCTACCCCAAGATGAAGATGGAAAATGGCAGAGGAGGATTGGATTGGATAGAGTGGAATAACGGAGAAGGTAACCCTTGTCTGGTTCTGGTACGTGATATTTGATATCTTCGGCCGGACACTTTGGGGAATAGGAAACCAAATTCACTCATGAGTTAATCATTGGAATTGGAATATTCATATGTGTCTGTAATTCTTGTACTGGTATATGCATGTATTATTTTTTAATATCTTTATATTTGTGTTGACGTTCAGGGTTATTGGCATATGTCCTTCGGACATATTTCCCTTTATTGTTTGACTTGTGAATGTTGAAAACGGGTTCGAATCCTTGAAGAACTTTCTCAGCCATCGAATTACATATTTATGATGCCTGAGTGTCAGGATACTGATGTCGAATTTGATGATTGAAAGGTGTATCATGAAATTATCAAATGAGAAACGTACGAAGGCATTGAATGAGTGGAAGCCCCCCTTTTGCAATCAAAAGTGTTTTTTCAGAATTTGCTTAATAAATTCAATTTATTTTGAAAACATAAAAATACTTAGAATTTAGATTAGTTTTGTTCCATTTATATTTTGTTATAATAATATTACATACATATATTATTTTTTGTTGAACATTAAAATGAAAATATATATATATACATAAATATATATGTATATATATTTGTTTAGCATTTTTTACATACATACACGTACTACATATATGTATAAATAAGTTAAAAAATTTATTAATTAGACTAAATTCATTGGAATGATATAATATCAAAATAGTTTTACAGCGATTTTTGTTTAAAATTTCACAACTATCTAGAAGCGAAAACTTGGAACATTCGTTTTGGTTTTTTAATTAATTATTTTTCTGTTTTATTTTGTTTTATTTGTTACATTTTACAAAGTACGACACGTACGACATATTGATGGAATTTTTAGTTTATTTTATTTTTGATTTTCATTCGATTGGAAATCCATCCATCCATCCACCGAAATACAATCTCACATACATAGAGAAAAATATTGGAAACTCTTTAACTTTGTGTGTGTTTGGAATAGTTCTTGGTTTTTGCTTTGGAGATGAGAGAGTTAAGAGAGAAAGCTATGTATATGGCAATATCTATGTATGTTTGTTAGATTTTATGAGAATTGGAGTCTTTAATTATATTAATGTTTTTCCTGTTTAATTCTTCGATTTTCTTTGGTATTATTTCGTGGTAGTTTTTTGCTATTCTTTTTTGGCAACATGGGAAATATTGGTTAACTGTCTTTGGGCCTAAAACTATTTAAATTAGTTTATCTTTTTCTTTTTTGGTTTTTTTTTGTTTTTGGTTTTGGTGTATTTCAAACGGCAAAGGAAAATGCCTGACGATGACGATTTTCACTTTCATCTATTGCACAATGATTGCGGTTGATTTGGATTTGACCTGCCCCATGCTGCTGCTGTTGCTGTTATACCAGCAGCGATACCTTCTGGCAGTTGAGGGACCCCATCTGTGGTGGTCCTCCCTGTACTGTAGGACCGGATGTGACCGCATTGGGCCCCTGATTCACTGGCGATGGACCCGCTTGCTGGCCACCACCCACACCGGCCGCCAGCTCGGCCGAGGCTGCTGCCGCCGCCGCTGCCGCCGACATGAAGTCCACTTTGCCGAGATGGACACGCAGATCGGTGTGCTGGGTCTCCTTGTGGCGTCGCAGGTCCACCTTGCGCTGGAAGGACTTGTGGCAGAGCTTGCAGGAGAAGGGCTTGTAGCCGGTGTGCTTGCGGGAGTGCGTTATCAGGTTCGAGCTCTGGCTAAAGGCCTTGCCACACACCTGACATTTGTGCGGTTTCTCACCTGCAATCGAAAGGAAGGGAAAGAGTAAAGTAAAGGTTTTTGGTTACCCTTTTTATATTTCTAAATTCTAATCAGAGTATGTTTCTGTCGATAGGGTATCCCACAAGTCCAGTTTGAGTCGACAAATGTGTACTGTCTGAATATTCAACCAGTGTGCGCCATTTTAAGTATCTTTTCTGCTTTCATGGCCGCATCCCCCGAATCTCTCCAACCACCCACACACATACAACAACACATGCGTAAGCTTCGACTCTTCTTGTGGCAGAGTCATCCCCCAAAAAAAGCGTATCGTCGCCAGACAGAAAGCATTTGGGGTCCTTCTCCCAGACCAGACATGGGAACACGACCGGGACTCCATGTAAGTCATCTCCATAGACCACAGGACGCTACATCCGACACCCCATCCTGCCTCCTGCCTCTTGCATCCTTCACTCTAAACAGACTCATCTGGGGTAAGGAAATGTGGCAGAAGAGTCCTGGAGTTTTTTAAATTTCAATTTTTTTTTTTAGCTGGTGATGTTTTGTGTGATGTTCTGTGGTTACGCTCCGGCACTTAAAGTACTGAATATTTTTCCGTTTCCTTTTGACAACATTCTTAAAGTAATTTTCTTCGCATTTTTCCTTCCCTGTTTTGTATTGCCCCTCGTTTCTGCTTTATTTTCCATTTATTGTGCAATTTTCATTCTGTTGAATTTTTCATTAGAGATTTGGGGAGAAAAAACCACAGTTCGAAATGAATTTTTTTTTGGTCGCCAGAAAGGCCATCAAAATTGTGGTTTTTGTAATCAAATCTCAGGAATTGAAGATGAAAATTACACAGCTTAAAGGGAACATTTTTAGGGCTTAATACAGACAGGTCATATTGTTTAATATGTGCTTCGGAAAAGATTTAATGAAGAAGAGAAATGATGATTTACGTGGTGGTTTTCTTTGATTGTCTGTAAAATTTCGAACAAAATTTTATTTGTAAGAGTAAATTAAAAGGCAAATCTTGAGCTTCGGCTAACGAAAATTATTGTGCCTGTAGTTCTTTCAAAACCTACCACTATCGGAACCCCACTGGGTGCCTTTTGGGTTCTCTATTTTGAGGTTTATTCTTTAGAGTTTATGAGATGTACAGATATCCATTTCAAAATCATTTGTGAAAGTGCTTCTTTAGTAACTAAATCCTTTCCTTTCCCATTCGCTGCTTGCGGTAGTACCTATTATCAGAGACTCTCTCTAATTAATCCGAACAGCTCTTGTTCTTCGCAGAACTCCAAGTATTAGTCATCTACTACCTCCATTGGCGCACCCCTAGCTATAGAGAAACTTTGATTATATTTATTTGTGGCAGCCACAAACTTTTGCTTTGCTGGTAGTTTGAATGGTAATGGTAGCTGAATGTATATATATTTTTTGTGCTTATCTGGTGGCAGATAGTGGCATAGACTTGTTGGGTTAGATTTTATATACCAAACAGATACATACATATATACTACCACACAGACAGTGAAACAGATTGAGGGGGCGATAGCAACAAAATAACGACGACAACATGCTAACTTGAGGAGAGGACCTGACTCTGGTTCTGGTTTGCTTCTGAGCTCCCTACAGTGGTTTCAGAATGTATATGTACATATGTATATATAAAATAAACAGAACACACACATACTCTCAGAGGGATATGTACAGCAAAAGAGAAAAGAGACAGACAGAGATGGGAAAGAGAGAGTGAGAGAGAGAGAGAGAGAGAGAGAGGTGTACACCCACCGAAACGGAAGGCAGCTTCGGTTCGTTGTATATAATGGAATTGCAGCGACGTGATTGTGAAACATTCGACCGTAGGGATGTGCTCTGATTCAACTTTTAGCTCCCGCGGCATGAGAATTTCTTCCCTCTCCTGCTTAAGAATCTGTGCGGAGGGAGGGTAGGTGGGAGGATGGGCAATGGGGATGGGGGGAGCAACAGTAAAATTGAGTAGTCAGGCGAAAGTTGGCTCTCAGTTGGCCTCACCGAGAGCATGCCTCTGGCACAGACACAGACACAGACACGGAGCTGATGCTGAATGCTGAAGGGTTCCTACTCCTTTGGGTTCGAGGCCAGGCTCTCTGGTGCTGGTGGTACTGCTGCTGCTCGGGGCACGTTCGTGCACTATCGGCACAAATAACGTCACGTAGTCGCAGAGATTATAGAGCAGCTTTTATTATTTATCACGGCTCGAGCAACGAGCAACGGAACACTAACGAGACCCCAAACCCAATGGAGGAAAATCCCGACGGCCGTCGGCAGTTCCAATGCAAAAAAAACTTTTGGGGGCAGATGTGCTGGAGAAGTCTTGTACATAGAGCCCCAATGCGGGTGCTTATGTATATGGGTATAAGTTTTTTTTCTCTTTTGCTTTTTCAAGGATTTTTATCGCATCACATTGTGGAAAGTAGGAAATACTTTTAAATCTTGTCTGCCCTTCTGAATGGCTTTCCTCTTAGCCTTCTAGTATTTTATGCTTTAGTTTTTCTGCCCTTCTAATCTCCTCCCACTTGACTATCCTATTTTCTAATTCAACACGTTCCAGCGTATTTTCGGTGGGAATCAAATCACACATACGCCATGTGGACCGTCGGCGAAACAGAGGGAAAACGGATTTGGGTTTTTGGATTTGATTTGTGTAAATCACAGAGGGGTGGGGGGACACTGAATTTTGTTCAAGTTTCAGATATAATTTTGAAGAGGGTTGAAGAAAATTATAGAAAAAGGATTGAGCTATTTAATTGTTGTCTTCATCATTACAATGACAGCGATAAACAATAAAGGTCTTGTTAAATATTTTTGGAAAATATAGATTTCTTAAGAATTAAAAGGTTTCTAAATTGAATGCTAATTTAACAGAAATTTTCACTTAAAATTTCCTTTTAAAATAGAAAAGAACTCTTTGGATTTCAGTGAATATTTCCGTCTTTAATAAATTTGTATTCAAGCTATCTCACCTTTTTAAATTATCGATTTATTGCAACCAAAGAAAAAAAAACAACACCACTGCACCTTGGACCACAATAAGATTGAATTTTCGATTGGAAAAAAGTCATGAATAAGTAAAGTATCCCAGAAAAAGAAACGTATTTTGTTCCTCTTTCTTCCCTCATTTTATGGCGCATAAATTTGGGGAAACGGAAAAATCTGAGGCAGGGAAATAAAAGCGAAACAAGAACAAGTGGAAAACGGTAGCAAAACACAGGAGAAGGATATAAAAACATTTGGGAAAAAAGTAAATACGAAAATGAAGAAAGGAACTTGAACGGAACGGAAAAAAATGAAAGAAAATTGTTCAGGAAAATCACATCCTATGAAAAGAGGAAAAATCTGCTGTCTGTTGGATGGAAACACGTCTCAAACGAACAGAAGAGAGCGAGAGAGAGAGAGAGAGAGAAAGCGAAAAGAAGGAATATTAAGGATAAGTCGTAAAGAAAGAAAAAGAAAGAATTCAGCAGAGGAGAAAACCAAAACAGTTGAATGGCAAATGGCAAATGGGAAATCTTGAAATGTTGAAGCCAACATCGCCACATGTGCGGACTGCTGTCGGAGGGAGAGCGGGGAATGGGGTCGGGGTCGGGGTCGGGGTCTAAAGGCACACGTCCTAAATCGAAGACGGCAAAACGATAAAAATGTCTGGAATATTTCTCTCTTTCTCTGCTTTTCCCGCTCTGTATGTAGGAGTATGTGTATGGTGTGTGTGTGTGTGTGTGTGTGTGTGTGTGTATGTGCAGATTTCTCTTCCACTGATTTTACCAGACATCTGCTGTGTGGGAGTGAACTCCTGCTTATTAGAGGTTATTATCCTTGCCATTTGTAAACTGATTTGAAGGCAACAGGAATTTGCGCTTTTTATGCCTAATGATCCAGTGTGCGTATATAGCAGGGAAATCTGATGAAAATCAGACGAATCAATAAAGATGTTATGGTTACAAATAAAGGATGGAATGGGAATACGAAAAAATGAGATTCGTTGTGGGATATAAAACCAGTTGGAAAGTGACAAAAATTAAAATTTTTGAAATAGAAAATTTAATAGGGTATATAATAATGGTATTTTGTTCCATATGAAGCCATTACAAAAGAAAATCTACCAGATATGGATATCTCGTAGAAGTGAATCTACATATAGTACGAATATAACAAAATCCTGCAAGTGAATTAAAAAAAGGACAATAGAATAATGTTCTGCAAAATTACAAAATTATGAATATTTTCAGTTATGAGAAATTTTAATTTAAAAGATTATCAGGCATCACATAGAATTTTGAAATGGAAAGTGATAGGAAATATCAAACCGAGTTTTAATATTTCGTGGAGTTATCGGTTTTTATAGTACACTTAAGACATGCCTAATCATGGGTTATCTTTCTACTATAGAACATTAAAAGATGGGATCCAGAAGAAGCTTTTTGTTACACTTCCCAACATTAAAAAAAAGCTTATAATCAGATTGAATTGCACATTCAAGTTTATTCGACGACAAAGTCTTGATTGAAAAAAATGCCATAAATGAACATTTTATTCAAATAAACTTAAACTTCGAGCGTAAGCCCGAATAAATCGCATTTGAGATTAGAAATTTTCACGTAGACATCAAGAACTTGAGATCGATGCTAATGCCCTACCCCGCCTCTCCCATCAGCGGCACCCACCACCCAGTGACCTTCTCCCCTTTCCCATGTTCCCCTTTAGCCGTGCCTCAGTTTCGGTCCGTAATGGCGGAGACCAACCTGCGCTAAGGGTGTGTATATGCGCCACCTATACAGCCGCAAAATTTTGTATATATGCATGTGAGTGGGGGTGTGTGTGTGTGTGTATGAGTCTCGTATTTGTTATTCGTGTGTGTGCGCGCGTATAAAACAGAAAATCAAAATCTCTTGACTAAATTTTTCATTGGTCGGCTGTGATTTCTCTGTCCGCTTCTGCTGTTGCTGCCTCTCACTCTCGCTCACTCACTCACTCACTCACTCACTGAGGCGCTCGTTCGTTTCGCGTTTGTATCTGTGTATCTGTCTCTCCAAGTGTGTGTGTGTGTGTGTGTGTATCGTATCTGTGTGCAGACCTTCCAGTCTCTCGCTCCCAAAGTATTGTACATAGCAGTCCCGTCCGTCCGTTCGCTTGCTTTCCTCACTTTCAGCCTCTTATCAGCATGTGCGTCTGCTCTCTTTCGCTCACTGATTTTATAGTTTTGGTTCTCTCTCTGTTCTCTTTCTATCTCTACCTCTCTCCGGCTTATCTCTGCGCTCTCTCTCTCTCTCCGTTGCGATTTTCGAGAGAGTAACCCGTGGGGCTCTTTCGTCTGCTCCATTTTTTTTTGCAAGCCTCCTCCTTCCCACCTCCCCCCCACCGAATCTGGTATATCTGGTACTGGGTGCTGGCGATGGTTTTTGGCTCTACGATGGCGATGGCAACTGTAATTGGAACTGGCGACTGAATGCGGCTTTTGGTGGTGGTTTGTCCAACGCTTTAATGGCTACGCTTCCTGTCCTCGATAGTGCCCCCATTTCATGCCATTCTCGCCCCCTTTACTTGGGTTGTCTTTATGGCAGATACTTTAAACTTCGGTCCCATATAAGGAGATGGCGACTGAGCTATAAAAATATCTCTTATGAACTGAAATTTCATGTATGGTAAATCTTTAAAGTGTAAAAATTTCCTAATAGAAAAGAAACAGATATTTTTTTGGGATGTTCTTGTTATATCTTTTCCAGAGAGCATTATAATTCAGATCAAAAGTTTTCAATCCACAAATGAATTGTTTAACCATCCCTTAAAAAGTATAGATATATTAACGATCATTATCCCAGGAACTGAACCTCTAAAAGAGGCATCGTGGAATCATAATCCCATAAATCTAACCCAAAACTTAACCCATTGAAGTGTTATACATATATCTATGTATGTATTCTTAAAGTTAATCGAATGCTTACCTGTGTGTATATAGGTGTGCTTCTTCATATCACTCTTCTGGTGGAACCGCTTGCCGCAGTAGCTGCAGGGATAAGGCCGCGTATCGCTGTGGATGAGCAGGTGGGTGGACAGTGTGCTGGAACGCTTGAAGCGCTTGCCACACTGTTTGCACTCGAACACCTTTTCCACATTGTGCACCGCCCTGAAGGAAGAAAAAGAGATAGAGAGAGAGAGCCACGTTAACAAGCGTTTGTTGTAATTAAAGCCAAACTCCATTCCAATTCCCCAAGGGGCGGGAGAGAGAGGTCCTGTTTTAACTACTGCCACAAAGGCAAACATTTGGTCAGGCTAAAATCCAGCCATTTCAGCTAAATTAAGTAATGCAAAGTGTCCCGTGTCCTGCACAGGAGTCCATTCCATTTCGGACCCAGACAGGAGTCCACTCATTAGGTATGCAGGACCCCCCCACCCCCTCACAGATGGTGGCTTTTTGTGGCCGAAATGCCTCTCCACATACCTGTGCTGACTGAGGCTGACCTCATGGCCGAAGGTCTTGTTGCACAGCTCGCAGGCGTAGGGCTTCTTGCCGTGATGAGTCCGGCGGGAGTGCACCTCGAGGCCGTGCGGAGTGGAAAACATCTTCTCGCACTTCATGCACGAGTACAGGTCGCTGAATTGGTGCAGGCCCGGCCACTTGGCCGCCATGTGATGGAAATGCAGATGCGGCGCGTGCGGCAGACCCAAGTGCCCGCCATTTGGTGGAACGCCCACACCCACGGCGGCCGCTGCTGCCGCCGCTGCCGCAGCCGCTGCTGTGGAGTTGTTTTGTCCGGCGGACTGCAGTGGTGCCATGAGACTCCGCAAACGGAAGAGATTTTCCTGCGAGTCCGGATGGTAGCTGCAAATGGGAATGGAAAAACATACATTTAATTGAGGCGAGTTAATTAAGAATGGGACTAGCCACTCATCCCTTTCCCTTTCCCTCTCTCTGTCTATGTCTGTGTCTTTGACTAACTAATTTAATGGCAGGAACAATGAGGACCAAATATACCCAATCCTTAAAGGATTAAATATTTTAGGGTACAACACTTTATTCTCTAGACATGAACATATATCTGTATCTTCCATATCTGTTCGATTCACATAAAGACAACTACATATTTTCATGATCAGAGTGATGCAAAGGGTATCTAAAAATTAAAAATATGGTATTAGAGTGATAGATATGGATTAGATAGTTAAATGAAAAGATCGCTGATATATATATGCATTAATAGACTTTTAAAAACATTTATATTTAATCAAGGTAATTTTCCTAGTTTTTCATTTAAAAACCGAATATTTTATATAAATATAGTTTTTTTTTTTTCATTTTACTATGCCATTTTTCTCTGAGTGTACATACTTTTTGTATGCACCTGAGGTTCAATCTTGCTTCAAAGTATCTATGCCCCTTCCTATTCCATATAAGAGCCCTCCCTCTCTTCCCACGATTCGCATCTTACCCTGCTCCCAGTCCGGACTGTTGCTGCTGTTGCTGTTGCTGCTGCTGTTGGCCCTGGTGGAAGGCTACGGCGGCAAAAAAGGGCAGAGCGGGCGAGAACAGAGGACGCTGGAACATGGCCGCCTCGTAGTTCGGAGGATAGCCCTGCCGCATGGCCTCCAAAGGATTGAAGGGCATGGCCAGAGCCGAGGCAGAGCTGGCCAGATGGCCGAGTGGGGGACTGCGGGCGCGCCTCTGCTGTGGCTCGTCCCGCCGTAGCAGGGCGGAGACCGAGAAGAGATCCGACTTTTTGGAGATGGAGATGCTGCTGGTGTTGCTGTTGGCCGTGATCAGCAGCTCAGAGGCGGAGGCGGCACTTGGGGAGCTGATGCTGGGACTGCCCGGCGGGGAGTCCACCTCCAGTTCCACGGAGGAGCTGCTCGAGTGGGAGCGTGACCGCGAGTGGGAGCGCGAGCGGGACCTGGGAGAGCGAGAGCGGGAGTGCAGCGAGCGGTGCGAGTGGTGCGACTGGTGCGAATCCGCATCCTCCATGTCGATCTGCGAGGAGCTGTGCGACGGCGTCCTGGATCTCGAGCGGGAACGCGAGCGCGACTGGCGCAACTGTTCGCTGGCACTGAGGAATGTGGTCTTGGATCGGTGCTGGATCTGATGCTGCTGTTGCTGGGAATGATGCTGATCCTGCTGGAGATGATGCTGATGCTGGGGATGATGATGGTTTTTGCTCAGCATAGAGATGGAGTTGTTGTTGTCCTCCAGGGGCGTTGGGGGCTTCAGTCCCGCGGCGGCGGCTGCCATCGCCGACAGGTGTTCAGTCTTGACCAATCTGCTAATGCTAAAGGCGAGAGAGGCATCTGGAGAAAGAAGCAGAGAGGGAAAACGTTTAGTGAAATCAGAGCGAGGCGTGTGGCACATCAATCATCAATCATGCACCCAAGAGGAAGAGAGGGAGAGGGCAGGAAATCCACCTGTATCTCCTCTAGCCCGAACACAAACGCACACATCGTACAATACAAAGCATATCGAATTTCAAATGTAATTATTTTCGTATTCAATCGCTAATCCACCTTACATGACCATTAATTCCACCCTAATCAACGTATCCTGCCTGCCCCTTTTGCCCACTCCCCTTCCCGTCCCGCATTTGACATCAACGCATCATCATTCGGCATCGTCACCCCGAGATATTGGGCATCGGGAGACGGCCTCCGGACGGACATGGCGCCGGCGCTCAGGGTTGACGATGGCACGCCCCTGGACCAGAGCCAGCCACCCGACAAGAATGTCGCAAACGAACAAATAAGATGGGGAAAAGTGGAAGTGAGTGAGAAGCGATTTGGTATACGATTTGGAATCTGTGGAAACTGAACCCATAAATCAGATCGAAAAGGGAGATTCTTCTTGTTGAAATACAACTTATTATCAATATACGTACATATATCGTATATAGCCTGGCCCCCACAACCACAACCATCTCAAAGCCGACACTTTTGTGTGGTGCACACACAACACTCGCAAAGCCCTAAAGAAGACGTACACTCCGCATCCTCGGAGTCGAGTCGAGTCGAGTCTATCGTATCGCCTGTCGAAATGAAATAATAATAATGTGCGTTTAAATAGAACATCTGTTCGGTCCACACTCGGCTAAATGGAGCATGACAAAACAGAAAACACACAGAGAAAAGCAGGGCGGCACACACGCACACACACATCGTAGAGAAAAGAACGGCGACATTTCGCTGAGGATTGGATTGACGCAGGCGCAGGCGTAGGATGTGTTGGGAAAGGGGTACGGAACGGAACGGTACAAACCGCGACACGGGGCCCGGAGGCGAGTCGAATGAATGAATGAATGAATGAATCCGCATCGCTACAAAAGAATAACAATTTGACAACATTCTAATTCGCCACGGAGATAAAAGTAACGGAGCAAAGACCCCTTGATGACGGGGATGAGGCCTCAGGTCTTGGATGGATGAATATGCTCGGAGGTAAAGACAGGGGCGGGACTTTGATTCCGGAAAATGTCGGTGAGGCGGCAAAACGCAAAGCCAAATAAATATAAACAAAAAAGCCCCACGCACAAACGGAAAGAAAGAATTTAGTTGAACGGGAATGGGAATCTCTTTGTATCCATCAGATACACAGATACATTAGGGGAGTGAGGGGAGTGTGCTTCTGTCTGTGCTTCTAGCTACATTCTTTCGTGCCACAGTGCCACAGTGTCAAGTGTTTTTATTGTCATTCTGTTGGTGTTGTTGCTCTTTGGATTTTTGGTTTTGGTTTTAAGTGCCTTTCAATATGGAAAGCCCCCAGAACCCACACTTTAAGCAACTGTTGGATACAACAAAGAAGATCAAAATTATCGTCAGAATGGAAGAGAGGAAAGGAGCTTCAGTAAGCACAATGGAGTCTAGAGAAAGGTTTTAAAGTGAAACAAGAGTTAGTCAGTTAGTACTATACCTTCCTATCCGAAATCACTTGTTAGAGATCCTCTAAGGAAGGAAGCGATTTCCAAGAGTTTTAAATCTCTGAATTTGTAGAACTTCTCAACTATAATTATTAAAACTAAATTCGTAATTTTAATTTGATTAAAAAGGAAAATGTTCTGTCTTTTCTATTTTGCCCCACCGCCCAAAAATATATAAATTTGAATCATTCGCATTACGGCAAATGTCGATTTGCTGTGCCCCAGACCCAGTCCGAGTCCCCGTTGCAGTCCAACCCTTTTTCGTTCTAATTATGCACACAATCGTCCCGAGAGCATTGCCCCATGAAAACGAATACGAATCGAAGAGAGGAATCGCATACCCGTACCCGTAAACGTGCCCACACGCACACAACCCAAGACCAAGGACCTGTTCTTGTGTGGGGAGGAAAGATGATGGCATGGGGAACATTCGGTCGACAAATAAAACTGGAAACGTTTAACGTTTGGAAAATTGTCGGCTGACAACTGGCGAAAAACTAGCAGGACGAAAGCCAACCCCAAGACAAGAGGAGAGAACAAGAGTGGCTCTTGGCTCCTGGGTGGCTCACGTAGAGCCGACTTGTTTAAATGATAATAATGAGCTTAAGCATGTGCCCGATGCCGCTCCAGGGATGAAGCTGGGAGGCTGACAAAGTGGCAGTGGCACAGTACTGGGTCCTCATCCTGCCACAGCTCCTGCTTCAACGACCCCTCAACGGCCGGCAGTAAAGTCATAAATTTGTGCACATTAGACATAGCCGTCGTCCACCCTCATCCTCATCCTCAAACCAAATCCTCTTGCCCTCTCTGGGCTGTGGGTGCGTCGATGTTCATCTGTTTTTATCCGCCCGGGAGCAATATTCACGCACAGTCCACGCACTTGTTCACAAACAACAAACACAACAACAAAAAAAGAAGAAGGTAAAATAATTATTCGACACTGCATGGTAATTGAAATCATTGTTATCCTGTGGGCGGGGGATGGGAAGGCCTCCTCTCACCCTCTTGTCTGTCTGTTTTGTGTCCTTTTGGCCCCGTCCCCAGTCCCCCGCACACTCAGTCTGTGGGCGGATGGGATGGCTGCTGTGGGCCATTGTCAGGCTTATGCCAGGATTATTATTGTTTTGGGGCGATTTGCAGCCATTACTGTTTTGGTTGGGGCTAACGATTGCCGAAAGGGCTTGGGGTTCGTCCTGCTGCTATTGGAGGAGGTGTTAATTATTGTAATATGTTTTATAATTTTATGGGAGTTTTTCGGCAAATTATAAAAGGTTTTTTCGGAACTTTGAATCGATATATTATGGTATGTTGTGTGGAAGATTGGAATACCTAATTGGAAGACATTTCTTTGAAGAGTCTAACGATTGAGTTGCCTATGGGAAGGCAGTATGCTAAATACACCTTAAAACTCTTAAGTCATTGGATGACCTGGCATCCATTCTCTTTTAAGGAGAACTTAAGCACAACAATAAAGATGTTGTTCCAAAGAAATGTTATAATTAGATTGGAATATATGAAAAATATTTAAGTAAGTTAAATAATAAATCTAGGCGGATTTGGCGCACATGCCAATGAAAACGTAGCTCATTTTGGGTGTATTTTCATATTCAATCTTTCCAGAATTTACAACACCCTCTTCGTTTGAGTGCGAAATCAGTTAAGTGAAACCGTCCCAAGGCGCCACACGAGCGGGAGCAATTTTTGCAGGTAGTTTTGCCAAAGAAGTTATCGATGAAATGAGTTCTAGGAGAGAGTACCGGGAGGAAGGCAACAGTAGTCGGCGACCGGCCTGCCTGGGGCCATAATAATATAAAAACAAATTTAGCTTTCGGCAAATATGAAAGTGGTAATACGACAAATAAAAATATGAAAGAAAACAGTGCAATATAAATAATATAGAGACCGGAGGCCGGAGCCCGTAGCCCGTAGGGCCATGGACGCAGCGATATGACCAGAAGAGGGGGCCATAAACTGTGAACGGTTAGATAGATTAGGCCATGATTTGGTCTGTGCAGGTCTGTCGGTCTGTGGTCTGCCGTGTTGCCAGTGCCAGTGCCAGAATGTGGAATGTGTGTGTGTGCTCATGATTATCGGATACGTTGAGATTTCGTTCGATTTCGGTTTCAATTTCGATTTGGATTTCAGTTGGGATTTCGATTTGGATTTAATTTCAATCCATTTCCATTCACATTCCCCTATCCCTATCGATGCCGATGGTATACTCGTACTCGTATCAGTGGTAGGACGACAGAGCTCTTTAGCCAGGCGTAAGCTCCACTCGTTGAGTGGCATTAGATGGGGATTGCGTATCCAAACACCACTCACAACTCAGTTGGCAGTTCCCAGAGAATCCCCTAGTGCGGTTGAACAATTGAAAGATTGAACGATTGAACGGTAGAACGGCAGAACAGTTGTCAACTGTCCCGCTTCTATCAGTCGATCCGCGGTGTCTCTCCTTTGATGCAACCTCGCAAATATCGCAATTGCAATTACATTATTTATTTTTACACTGCAAATCAATCGACTGGCCATACGTTGTCTAGACCCTTCAGCACCCTACCCCTCAATCCCCCAGACCCCCTTTCCTGCTCCCCCGACTGCTTATCGCTGGGGGGCCATAAATCAGAAGGCTATCTAAACTTTTAACTACAATTTGTACCTTCTTTTTGCCCCTCTAGCTGATAAATGACATTTAATTGGTGGTTTGCTCATTTTGTGGACTTTTGTTGATTCGTTCAATTTCCGAATTTATATGTATTAATTTCCTGTCTTCGAACTTTGCTCAGGAAAAGACTGGGTGAAAGAATTTCGTGATTTCGAGCAGTAGATTATACAGTGCGTTTCGGCAGGGTATGGCATTAACAATTCAAGATAGTAGAGTTCCCATAAATATGTTGAATAGTTTGAATAATTATGGTCTGTCATATAATGGCATCAGATGTTGATAAAAATCATTTATTCAAGATTTAATATGATGGATCTTTTTAATTAAATTATTTATCGTATAATTATGGAGCTATCATATTTATTACAAGCTATCGCCTATACGAATCTACTGTTTCCAAACTTTTTCCCAAAGCATTTTCCACCGTGTTACAGCTATGGTACGCACCGTCGACAAATCTGATTTATAAATAACTTTTACCTCAATGCGAATTAATCAATTCCTTTGATTTTTTGGCTTGGATTTGGGGTTCAAAGCCGTTTCATTGTGTCATACGAGTACGAATACGAATACGAGTACCTTGAGTACCGCCTCGCATTGCCGGATATCTGCGATTGGGGTTTATGATTGCCATAAGCCTGATATCTACTGGTAGCTTTTATGACAGTACAAAAAAAATTTGATATCGAAAATCGCAGTTTCTCATACCATCAGCGAGGGAGAAAGAATCGATCGAATCGGGTCGAATCCTGATTTCAATATTCAAACAGCGAACGTGACAAATGCAAGGGTTCGTACGGTTCGGTTTGGAAATTGATTTTTCTTTGTCAAACATTCCAAGCGATGATAAACCAAAACGAAATACAGGCCATAAATATTGAACAAAAAAAAAAATTGTGGCTGGACTCGACTTGTAGTATTTATATTTTCTTAATGTTGCATGAACTAGTATGCGGAAGGGAAGGTTTTCCTTGTGGTTTGGCTTTGCCTTTGTGTACCTATCGGTCGCGTCGCTTACTTTATGATACTTTTACTCTTTCGATTTTACAACTGGCCTCAGAGAGGATATTGACATGTTTAGCTGTCGTTATGTATTTAACATTTACCTCAGGATCGTAAATCATAACGCGTGTGCGGTGCGGTGCGGTGCGGTGTATGCGTTCGTTAACTGTCTACACAAGCCTTTGCGCCCCCACCCACCTCTCCGCCACTCCTATCTATGTGTGTGTGTGTGTGTAGGTTTGTATCTGGCAGATACACGAGTTTAAGGCAGAGACACTGGGTTCTCTATGGCATGAGTGGCTTTCTTTTTATTTGGCGTACTGTCTGGCTGGTGGGTTTTCGGATATCTTTATTATAGATTTACAATGCCCAATTTTCGTCTACTTGTGAGAAGGAGAAGTTGAAAAATATATGACAGGCGATGAGTTGCCAATGATTACGACGTGTGTCGTAAAAATTTCATAAATATTGCTCTGATTTTCCTTGCTACAATTTGTTATTGATCAATAAGGAGGTGTAGATACTCGAGCTGTATTGCAATCGCACAAAATGCGTGGATTGCACTCGACCAGAGAATGCCCTGCTATGTGGTTTTTCAAATTGTTGTATATTTTTATTTTTATTAAATTTTGATCTCTCTATTATACATATAAAACTCATATCGGAGCCGAAAGAGTGAAGCGAGTGAGCCGGGGATGGGCACACGAGCGAGGCTAGTCTAGGAGTCTTGACCCTAGCATTATAAACTAAAAAATAAATTATTAATATTTAAAAAAATATATATAAATTTAAGCACTCTTAGAAATTATTTATTTTACATTCATTTAGAATTTTTTTTCGTTTTCTTGGAGTATCCCCAAGTCAATTATCTGCCGCTTCTAGAATCGTAGGAGACTCGAAATTTATAGCAATCTTCCAGCGATTTCACTTCACGCTGGTAAAAGCAAAGTTCCCTTATAATTCTTTCTGATTAGCAAACCTCTTGAGAGCGACACATCACATACATATGTATGTGTCGTATGTATACTTATAGGTGGCACTGTATGGGTGAGTGAGCGATTGGCAAGCGGTTTGGTTTATTTATTCGATAGGATATTTCGATTGCCTTTTTAATTGATTCGAATCGCTGTTCAATTGTTTGGTGTGATTGAAAATGGCTTAACAAATTTATTATTGAATTTATATCGATGAATTCGGTGTACCATATATAAGGTATATTCCACATCTATCTGCCGATAGTCGAGTCACAGTAAATCATGAATATAATTTATGGGGGCGCATGTTTACTTCTGATTTCCAAGACACCCCACCCCGGTTCTGTTCTGATTTTTCTGGACTGATATCATTCGAAAAGTATGCTTGGCTTGTACTTTGTACGAGTATCTATGAATCAATGCATTGCTGTGGTCTCCGTTCAACTAATTTGTGTTCTTTCAGTCATTTAACCCTTGACCTGTGCAGACTATTAGTTGGCAGTTAGTCTGGGGTCTGAGCAATATTCATACTTGTAATTTAACTTAATTCGTGAGTCACCCACGTCGCGACGACGGTGTCAAAGTTCTATATTTTTTGTGTGTCCAAAGCATTAGAGGAAGAGTCGCATTAATTGAGTCACACACCGTACGGAGGCGTTCTGGAACGAGTATGACAAACACTCAAGATGATCCCACACACATGGGAGATGAAATATTCGATTGACCTTTCGGGGCAAGGTTGTGTAATTATGTATGAGATATCATTATTAGTTTCACACTCTGGGAAACGATATAATTTGCACAATTAAGGCCCACACAAGAACACCATACTCGCATGATGTATCTTTAAAAGTAATCAAGTTACTGGGATTTGGAGTTGAAGCCAAAGAGATTTCCACATGGATTCCAGTCTCGCACACGCAGGACTGGGGCCAATCAGTCACCAGATCCCATATCCCATCGCAGAGAGAAGGTAAGGCCGCATCAACAAATATTTTCCACAACAAAAAAGCAAAAACGGAAAAACGGAAAAGATATTTCCACAAACAAAGCGAAATTCATTTTCGCTAGAGAATGAAAGCAACACACACACACAAAAAAGCCAAAAAAAAGGAAAGAGGAAAAGCGTCAGAGGAAAGCATGTCGCGGCAAACGGAATTGAAAATTCAGTGCAACTGTATAAGTGTGTGTGTATTTTTGTGTGGTTGAGAGTGTGCTTTTCCGCATATCCATGTCGGGTGTGTGTGTGGGGGGGGGCAAAACAGTACAGAGAGAGAGATAGAGCTAAAAACATATCCGTGGGATACATGTAATGCCGGTAAATGAAATCCGCTTGTCGCTGCCTCTGATGCCACACTCCGCTGTATCTGTATCTGCATCTGTGTGAGTGTGTGTTTTTGTGAGACTGTATGTAACTGAGGCAGAGAAGGAGAGAGATAGACAGAGAGAGAGAGAGCGAGAGCCAAGCATTCTCATTCATTCATTCAATGCTCATATTTGAAATTCAACTGCGATGGCGATGACAACGGCGTGTCTGCCTCACACGCACACAGATACTGACACACTCATACTTATAAAGCCGACTGGACCGTGTTTTGTCCGTTTATTTTCTGGCCCCGTATCCGGGTATCTGTGTATCTGTGGTTCAGCTATGGATTTTTCAATCCCCGATATCCATTTGTCCGCCCCAATGTCCGCACAGAAGATATGCACATTAAGCGCCCCACACGAAACCCAGACACACAGACAAACAGGCACATTTATACAGCACAGAGAACTCTCACCCATACACAAACGGAATAATGAATATTTGCCATATCCTTCTCCTCCAGCTTTGCCCTGCTCTTGTTTTTCACGCTTTTCCCACCAGCTGAACTTGGGGTTTTTTTCCAATTAAACGAACACCACGTGAAGCTCTCGCTGGATGGCTGCTGGATGACCATTGAAATGGACACTGCCACTGCCACACGGACATTGCAATATTTTAAAATCACACATTATTCAAATAAATTTTTAACATTTTCTGGCATTCGGCATGTTGGGCGATTTATGTCGCTGCTCTTTTTGGGCCCATGTACATGGTTTGGTTTTGTCTGTTTTTGTTGCATGGATCTGGTTGCAACCTGTTTGGGGGCTGAACAAATTAAAATTTGAACATTTTTAAAAGCCGAATACTAAGGAAATATAAGTTTGAGGCTTATTTTTGAGTTGAGTACTTGGGATAAAAATTGTTTGCGAAACTCTGTGCAAAGTTGAATCTTTAATAGCAAACCGATGTATATTTCGCTTATTCTGAAATCATTTTATCATAATAATACTTTTGCATTTTATCCCGAAATTACTTTGTATTTTTATTTTTCTAAAAACCATTTAAAAATTGCAACCCTTTTTGATAATTATCATTGCAAAACTATTTAGTTTTATCAATGAAATCTGTATAATCATGCTGGAATCATCAAACCTGTATTTTAATCTTATCAAAATCGTATACCAAAATGAATTTCAATGAAATTGCTCTCAGGTTAAGTTCAACTTATCTCAAAACACCAAAAACTTATCAAAGTCCGAGGAAATCTCTATTTTTAATAATTTTTCATAGAAACAACATGTATTGTTTCATTAATCAACCAGAGATAAGTATGAATGCTTTCTACAGATAGATCAAATCATGAATAAAATATCAAAGTATATAGAAGTAAAACTCGTACTACATAAATAGTTTGAAAATAATAATAATAATCCCTGCTAGGAAAGTACTCCAGTTTAATTATGCTGAATCTTCCTGCCCTTCTTTAGATATACATACATATGTATATGTTCAAGCAATTATCTCATTGATTTTTGCGATTTGATTTTCTTGATTTTTCCATGTTTCTAACTATGATTCAGTTCGAAGGTAACAAAATATTCATGTGTACATAGGTACCTATTTATAGCTTCTGTAATCCACTATAATTCAACTAGATTTCCCATTTTTGTAATATTTCACAAATTTTCAATATTTACACATTTTTACACACACTTTTAACCAAAAGTTAAATAAATCCCTTCATCCGAGTACTTACCGTCGGGAGTACGTTTCTTGGGTAGCACCGCCTTGAAGGCAGACATGGGCGCGTAGTCCCGAGGCGATGTGGATGCCGGCGGCATCTGTGGCTGTTGCTGTTGCTGTGGGTGGGTGTGGGTGTGGGTGGGCTGCTGGTGGTGCCCCAGTGCGGCGTCCACCGAGATTTGGGCCTGCTGCATCCGCTGGTGGAGCAGCTGGGTGGGCGAGGGTATCGTGGCCATGGCGGTCAACGCACTGAGATCCCGGACCTGCAGCGATGCGATGGACGATGTGGAGGAGGAAGATGTTGACGATGACGCTTGCTGCTGCTGTTGCTGTTGCTGCTGCGGACTGGTTAGGAAGGGATTTCCAGGAAAGTCGGCGGCAATGGCAGGCTTGAAATTCCCCAAACTGTAGTCGAGGGGCAGGTGGTGCTGATGGGCGGGCGGTGCCGCCGTAGCAGCCGAATGCAGAAGATGCTGGCCCGGATTCGCTTGCAGCTTGGCCACGTCCATCTTTGGCCACTGATTGAGTTTTTAAAATATATTTTTGGAACTATTCTTAGATCCTAACTTTGGTTGTTCTTCTTTGGCTTGTGCACTGGAACTGTTTGGAGTTTACGCGACGGCATGGGACACGGATGCGGCAGCGGATACGAATGCGAATACGGACACTGATACGGAAGCGGGCTGTGTTCACGCGCACGACTGAATAGAAAGTGTCACAGATTTCAGATTTTAGCTTCAGCTTCAGCTGCTGCTGCTGGCCATTGGATTGGAGGAGCTACTGTTGGGTTCGGAGGCATCGAGCGGACTAAACCGTAAAACCTAATCACGGCCCCGATTCCGAGTCCAAGTCGAAGTCGAAGTCGAAGAGTGGAATCCAATGGAACACTGGGAGCGTACTGTTGCCGCTGCTGCTGCTGCTGCTGCTGCTGACGCCGGCGCCTGGGCTGAGAGTGAATCTGTGTTTCGACGTCGGATTTGTGCACTTGACTTTCTGTCCGGAACGTTTATCGGAACACCACACGACGCTCGCTCGCTCTCTGAATTCTCGATTGCGATTTCGCCAAGATTGGAAGAAATCTGGATTTGGTCAGCGTCGCGTCGTGCCGCAGTGCTGCGAGAGAGAGATGAGAAGAGAGCTGACGCGTTTTTAACGGTAAGGTCCGTGGTTTCGGTTTCCGCCCGAGTGTAACGTCTGTTTAGAACTGAACAAGAGAGCAAGAGAGCGCTCCATTCCAACCAGACCAACTTATTCCAACTCAAGCAAGCAACCAACCCCACAAGCGCTATCTGGATGGGTGCGAGTGAAACGGCACCACCTACTACACTTCCAATAATAGTGCTGTTCAGAAACGAAATGGAATTGGAACACACACCACCATATTGCTGGTGCTTTATACTGTCCCTCCTGCTCTTGCACTTGCATCTGCCTGTTATCTCGCTCTCTCTCTATCACCCCTGTTTCGTTTGAGGCCACGCCCCCTTTCCAGCATATTTGGAACTTAATCTGGATTTGGTATGCCTGTTGCTGGTGTTGTTGTTGGTATTTTTAGTGCGCGTACCGCTTTGATTCGTTCAAAAATCAATGCGCCGGCCAGAACGAACAATGGTTTCACTCTGGATCGTACTGGTGGTTGGGGTCTGTCTTCAGAGAGTGGGTAGGGGTTCCGGGGCATGTGAGCTTGTGCGTGGCGCGTGTTTGTTGGCCTCTGGTTTTACCTTCCTCTAAGAAGGTTAGGGGGGACAGGGGGCGTTCTCACCGTGTCTCGATCTTTCGTGGCCATCCATCGCTTTGTTGTAATCGCTGTTGTCTTCCAGTACCATTTGAAGTGCCCCACGCCATTTAATTTCAAGTGGTTCCACACTGCCACACACCCCCCTTGACGGCACTCAAGTGTTGCGCCACCACACGGCAAAAGCTTTCACACTTGTACAGAGCATAGCATTTCTATCCCCCAATTACCTTTTCGCTTTGTGTGTGTGACTTTGAGTTGGCATTCGCGATTCGCGATTCGCGATTGGTTTCTGGCCATAACTTCAAATGGAAACCATTTCCCCCATAAAACGAGGTGGTTTCAATGGGTTTCCTTCTTCGATAAAAACTGGAGGGGGTGCTAAGTGATTTTAGTTGGGAGAATGTCAGGAATGGTGATAGGAGGTGGATCATAATTGTACTAGGGAGAGTCGTTCCAGTCATTCCACTCAGAAAATATCTGCACATCTTTTATCCATTACTTTATTCTGGGTAAATATTCTTACCGACAGACTGAAGTTTCTTTTAAAATAAGTCGGACATGGCAGATCTTTCCAATGTCGTACCTTTTAAATTTAGGTAATCTTTTTGTTTGAAATGCTTATTGGCTCCCTATACCCAATGCGGTTCTTCACTTGAGAGAACTACCCTGGTGGCTGAGTTTTCTTAGGTTTATAAAGAGTTGGTCAAAGGAATTTGACGACCCCTATATAACAAAGGCTCTCTATACATACGTCGCTTGTTCGTCCGATCTTAGAATACGCAATACTTAGATCTCCTATGTATGGTGCACTGAGTACAAAGTACACCATCCTTAGTTAATCGTAGAAAAATCCACTAGAAACTATTTACCGTTGACCCTTTAGGGTCCGTTTAGGGTCTTATGCTGTAATTATAATTCCCTCTACCGTATAATATCTACAACTAATTCGATTCCTTTTTCAAAGTTAAAATTAGTAGATCTATTTTCAATGCATTTTAGTAAATGTAGTTCTAATTTTCATCAAATAATTGTCTAACAGCTATCTTTCCTGCATCTTCACTTTGAATGAGAAAATATCTATTTAATCTCTAAGTTTATATTATATTAAAAGCTGTATTAAGAATTTAGATGTTAGGAGAACTCGTAGCACATTGAAATCATTTAGATTGACCTAGAAAGCCCCCTCTAAATATCAATATTTCCCTGTCTGCTAGATCTCCATATTCATGATGAGAATTACCGTACAACAAGTCACAGATTTCTCATGGATCTTTTCAGACCCGACTATAATGCAACCCCAATCGTTTTTTTTAGCTTCTAAGCTTCAGGGGGACTCTTTTTTTCTTTTGAACAAAGCTTTTTGTGTCCCATAAATAAGAAATTTTTGACAGGCATCTAATTTTTAAAAACTCATGCATTTAATTGCGACATTAAAAGCACAACTTGGAGTACAAATATTCAGAGGCAGTGGTAGTGGCAGTGGCAGATCTCTCCCCAAATGCTCCCTAAGACAGGGCAGGGCGTCTGGTTTTCTGTCTGGTGGATCGTCGCACATGTCGCTTCGATGTTGTCGTTGTCGTCGTCCCCCATCTCGGAATTATGACAAATATTTACAAAACACACAGAGCTAATGTTCCCATTTCATCGGGCACATAAATAAGTGTTACGAGCCCCGAGCTCCCACATTCCTCCCGATGTTTTCGTCACAGATTTGAATACGAGTATTTCCCGGCTCGTTCCAGATCCCAGCTTCGAGTGCAAAGTATTTGTGTCACTTAGTTTTGGCCAACACATGGCAACGATTTAAAGAATTACACACTAAATTTAGTACAGCGAGGCTTGGAGGGTGGAGTGTGAACAAAATGAGGTCTGCTCTGGTTCCGATTCCCCTCGATTTGGTTCCATTCTTCCCACTCTGTCACTCCGCCAAAGATCCAATTAGAGAACTACAAATCTGGCTGACATCCAGAATCGGTACAAAGTGACGTGCATCCATTAAGATCTAAAGGAATGTATGTGGAACTAGAAACGAGCTTAAGATGTCTGGGGCAATGGTGTGGAGGAAGTTGGTATAGGTTATGTGACAGTTCTTTGGGATGATCTTTTGTCTTTTGTAAGAGATAAAAACTATGTTGTCGGCCTGGATGAGAAGATCACTTCCTCATACTTGGACGTTAATATAACCGCCAAAATCTTTTTTAAAAATGTTGGTGACTCTGCGCACTTTTACAAAGAATTTTTAATCGGCTTCTGCAGCACGGCTACAAAACTTTTAATAGGATTTTTCATTCGTGTTGATGAAGTGGATGTACCTGAAGAAATAGATTTATTTTTAATACGTTTAAAAGGGGAAGATGATTACATTGCAGATCAGATTTAATTATATTTTACTGAAGACTTCAGAAGCCAAAAATTGTAAGGTAGAAATCTTCTATATAGTATGGAAGAGCTCTCATTACTGTTGAACACATTTGTGTAATATTATTCCTAATTTTTAGTAATGAATGGTGGATGATATTCCAAAAGTGCTTAAATATGCTCTCAGGTCAAATATGAAGATTATTCGACCGAATTAAACAGTATTCTAAAAAAATTTCCAATATCTTCGATGATTCTCTGGTTTTATATGATAAAGTCATAGCCCATAACGGACCTTACATTGTGTGTTTAAGTTAGACATCATATCATATGTATGAATGTATGGTAGGTAGTCTGATAACTGTATAACTAAGGTTTTTATTTGAAAACGCTATCTACATACTCGCCTGTGAGCAAAAACGTTTCTGTACGATTCGATTCGATTGGATCCAATACGATACGATTCGATGCGATTGGATTCTATACGTATGTATATTGCCCGGTTGTAATCATGAACTGAACTAAAATGAAATGAACTTTTACAATGGATAATAAAATATATTTTTGACATGAATTTTCAATCAGAATTTTAATGGCCCTTAATAATAACATGGCTATCAGTTATCAACACACACTCAACAATCGGTTATCAAAGTAATTTTCGTTTGTTCGCTTTTGGTCTGCAGTGCATTCCGCCTCCGTCTCTGCCTCAGCGGCTGGTCTATGCAACCATAGAGCCGGTACCCGATACCCATACCCGATACGAAACCCGTACCCGTGCCGGAGCCGATACCAGTCAGCGATCCATCTACTCGTATTGTGTTCCTCTGTGTGGTGGCAATATTCATTCCATTCCACCACCGAAGCTATAAATAATTTATTTATAGCTCTTACTCCACTCCATTCCGCTGCGGCGGTGTTCGGTGTTCGACTGTTGATTTAGTGCTTCTTTATAGATCGATAGTTGGTTGCTGCTCAGGGCTGTGCTCGTGTGGGCTCAACGCAGCCATGGGATGGGCTCTAGATGCATAAACAGGATGAGTAGCCTCTGCCTCTGCCTCTGGATCTACTCTCTGACTGACTCGTGACTGACTTTGAACCGTGGAAAGCGTGAACGCCCGGGCGTTGGGGACGAGCCTCTCTGCCCCTGCCTATGCCTCTGCCTCTGACTCTGGGTGGGGGGTCTTATCTAATCATCAGAGCCTCGGTACGCGATGGTGGGTTACAGATCGATTGCGCTGTAGCCGTCGATAGGCCCATATATTTAACCTAGAGGCGGCAGATTGAAATAAAACTCCGGTTTTATAGCACCCACAGCCCCCTACTCCCACTCTCTGTAAACCATGGCTGTAACTACATAGTAGTACTGGTACTGCTGCCTTGCACCGTAGATCGAAAGAGAAAACGCGTAAATGGGAAATGTGTATAAATATTTATGACCCGATTTATACAAACAGCAATTGGTATTGTAATTATTGACATTGTACGGGTTCCTGTTCCTATGTGCCCAAATATAGGGTATCTGCTGCAGGCGCTCCTTTAACAATAAGATAATCCTCAAATGAGAAATACTATGTTAAATATTAAGCTTAAACCAAATCGGGAATTGCAAGACCAAGAATGTACGATCTATTGATATTTCCAAACATTGCTTTCTTTATT